CATTGGAATCCCTGAGTAACTGAGTAATTTGACAAAATCAGATTTTAATGTAAAATGGAGACAAAACAACACTTCATTTGATTCTTAATTTGAGACTTAATATGCACAATATTGCATGACATGATTTAAACTCTTACCCTCTAAAGATAATGCTAGTACAGACAGTTTGAAAATTTAGAAAACATACATGGCAAATAGTCTTCTAGTTTGTATTTTAAACTTCCTCCTTAATGTCTTCTTATTCCTCGGAGACCTTCCTTCAAGGAGAAAGTATCCACACCTTGTAATTATCTGCATTTAACAATGCCTTCATTTTATGGGCACACATCTCATATACTGTAGAGCAATGCTGTACTAATATTTTTAGCTTTCAACATTTAACCCAAACTTCAGATTATATACAGTAAGGTCCTAAATTATCTACACCTGCAAATTAGGTTTAGAATTATGCACTCAATTACCTAGGATTTCCTCCTGCTTTGAAATTCCATTGTCACTGTTTTTGACATTCGACTGAGGCATTGGGGATGACATATGGCATTTTCTTGGGAAAGCAAATTAATGACTTGCATTGTCTCTCCAGACTCAGGGGGCAGGCTCTCCCCGCTCCTCCCCCAGCCACACCATCAGCAGGCCAATTCCCATGCCCATCCGGTCAGTGTCAACCTGCTCCACCCCGACGCACACGCCGCAGGACTCCCTCACAGGGGTCGGGGGAGATGTACAAGAAGCATTTGCACAAAGTAAGTGGCTTTATTTCTTGTTGTAGTCTGCTTTTATGTGGCAAATAGATCATCAAGGTCTGTTGAGTGGTCAAGAGTCATCAGCTACATGTGATTATTGTAGGGCCTGTCATGGCTGGTGTCAGAGCCTGGCCTGCCAGCCATTTGAGGAACTCCCTACACTGATTTGTTATCACTTCACCATTTTACCTTCCTTTGGCTTTCGTTCCTATTTTATTTTTCAGTAAGTCTTTGTTCATCAAAAGACAGAAAATCTGTTTACCAATACCCCCAGAAAACTTCATAAATGTAATCCATTTTTTTAATCTTAGAGATTTTCTTGTCTCATATTATTTTTTCTTTATATTAAAGTCAAGACTGAGATAGATAATTACAGCTCTTTAGCAATGAGGTAACCAAGAAGGACATTTAAGTTTCCCTGTTCAGATGCCCCAAAGAGTTAAATCATTGCCTCTGCAAGGTGGGGCTACAGAGTTAGGCCTCCGCTGTTAGAGGAGTCCAAAGAGGGATGGGTATGCCAGCCAGCACTCTCCCATGATGGGGAGAGTAACTTTATTAATTTAGAAATATTTTTAACACTTTTTACAACCTTTTATTACTATCTCTTTTTACATTTATAGAGAATAAGAAAAAAAATCGCTCTGTAGACCTTCACCCAGCAACTCTCATTCCCAGAACTAACCACTATTAACAGTTTGATCCTTCTCAACATTTTGCTTATGTGTAAATAGTTATGTTTAAGGATGTGATTATAGACACATACTCTTTTTTTCCCCACACAAATAGGATCACACATTGCATTTGAGAGTCTACAATTTGCATTTTCTTTAAATTAGCAATATATCATAAATATCCTTCAAAGTCTTCATATAGAGATCTAAGGAAAAGAGAGACTTGTTTGACCACTGGTTTTAAGGCAAAGAAAATCAAATCATAAAGTCAAAAGACAGAAAACAGTCTTAAGGAAGCCATTTCCAGCATATATGTCAATCAAGTTTCATAATTTCAGTTATACAAAAAGCATGTAGAGATCAGAAAAAGACACCACCAAAACAAAAACAAGTGAAGGACATGAACAGACAGAAGAACAAAGAGAGATTGCCAATAAATATATAAAAGATGTTCAACCTCTGATATAATAGCAGAAATAAAAATTTTAATAAGTATCACTTTTTGCCTAGATGATTAAAAAAATATTTTGAAACATCATAATATCCAGGGATAGCAAGAGTGTGAGGAAACAGGTACTTTCATCCATGTGGAGGAGTGATAAAATCTTAACGCACTTTAGTGAGAAACAATGATGGATTCTCTACTCTCTTATGAGGGAAAGGAAGGATCCATATTAGGACTTTTTCTTCTAAGCACTGAATATAACTCAAGAGTTTTTAAAGATGTAATTCACTAAATAACTTATTTTAATTTTTAGAAATAAAAATATCCGTTCTCTAAATCATATCTTAAAGAAATTTACTATATTTAAAATCAATTTGTGATTTACATTATAATTAATGTTTTTACTTAACTACTCTGATTTTTAAATTTTAAACATGTTTTTTATTTTAGTTAGTATTACTTTCTGAAAAATGACAGAATGAAGTGTGGCCTATAGGCAACCTTTAACTTATAAAGAGCTCAGGCTACCTAAGTTCATTTGTAAGTTAGGTATTTGGAATCTTGAACCATTTTTTTCTCAAAGATGTTATGGCAAATATCTCTCTTTACTCTCTCTACTCCCAGGCTGGCTCACAAGCATCCATTTGTTTACCCAAAACAAAATAATAATCTTTATTTGCCATAAAGAAACATTGTCTAAGTTCCAATTCATAGTACCTAAGACATTCATCTTCCCATGTCTTGGCAGAAGAGACAAGAATCCTCACCCCTTTCTCACACTCTGAGGGCATTCAATGCATGTGTTCCCCATTCCCAAGTACTACTTATACTGGCAGGAAGAGCTCCAGGAACCCGGATAGGAGACAGCACATGTCTCAGTAGAGACCAGAATCTAAAGGGCTCAGCCACCAGGTAAGGGAAAGAATAATAACAGCAGCTAGGAAGGCGCAGCTCTCTTGGAAAAACTCAACTTTTCCTCTGTGTGGATTATTCTTAATAAGGGTGACCACACACTAGTTTATTTGGGACCATCCCAGTTTTACCAGGCCAGCCAGTTTTCTTCATACTGCTCTCTTTCACTTTCAAAATGTCCCCATTTGGACCAAACAATTATATGAGACTCCATTAGTAGCCATGTCTTCTTACTGCAGGACCCACTGCCCTGAGCAGTGTTTTGTTGTTGTTGTTGTTGTTGTTATTGTTGTTGTTGTTGTTTCACGAAATGAACCAAAGTACTTCTGAAAAGAAGTCTTAGAAGTTTTATTGCTTTAGGTTATTAATGGGAAGGATAAACCAACAACATAAAATTTAGGATTAAGGGAAGGCTTTGGTTTTTTTAATTATTTCTTCTTCCCTGAAGGTTCAAGAAGAAATTTAAGGAATGATTTGCTAGTGGCTGCAGATTCCATCACTAACACTATGTCCTCTCTTGTGAAAGAGCTGAATTCTGGTGAGTTCCCAATTCCCTCTCATTTGTCTGCTCATCAGAGGGGTCCATAAGTGCAGGGGGCCTCTCAGAGATCTGCTTATTATCTAATATCAAAAGATTGTTTAAAGTTCTATGTGATATTTTGTTGGTCTATTCAGATTTGAGGGTTTTTTAAATTTTTGTTTTGTTTTTTGAGACAGGGCCTCTTTGTGTTGCCAGGCTGAAGTACAATGGCACCATCATAGCTCACTGGAGTGTCAAACGCCTGGGATCAAGCAATCCTTCTGCATCAGCCTCCCTAGTGGCTAGGACTACAGGCACATGCCAGCATGCCTGGCTAATTGTTTTTGTTTTCATGGAGGCAGAGTCTTTGCTATGTTGCTCAGGCTAGTCTCAAATCCTGGCCTCAAGTGACCCTCCTGCGTTAGCCTCCCAAAGTACATGAGCCACTATGCCTGGCCTATTCAGATTTTCTTAAGTAATGTTTATATTTTACTTATTCATATATTATTAGTGAATATATGTAGAAAGTTTGAAAAAGGCAGAAAAGAACAACCAAAAATATTCAAATTTACCTACAATTCTAGAATCCAGTGACAGCCACTGTTAACATCTATGGTGATCAAAAACAACATGATGCTGAAGTTATTTTATAGGGTTAAATGTTTTATTTACTTTTTTTTTCTTTTTGGGAGATAGGGAGTTGCTATTTTGCCCAGGGTGGCTTGAACTCCTGGGCTCAATCGATCCTCCTGCTTCAGCCTCCCAAAGTGCTGGGATTACCAGTCATTATCTATTTAGATTTCATCAATTTGGAATGCCTGATCATTTGAATTTGAATTTCAAAATTGAATTTCAATCATTTGAATTTGAACTTCAAACTGAAATTTACCTTTGCAATATCTCTGAAGATAGATCTGTCCCGAAATAAATAGCGTAAAATTTAAAGAGACTTTTTATCCTCCTAATACTGCAAATAATGTTCAAAACTTTAGCAGTATGAATATAAAAATAAATATGTTACCAGTTACTAATACATCTCCATCTATTCCTTAAGGAAGACCTAACAAGAGATTTGTCTGGCTAGACTGGGATCTTATTGCTGAGATTACAACTATAAGAAATAAAATGTTGGTATTAAAAAAATCCTGGACTTAACTCTCTTAAAGCCTCTCAATTGAAAATTGTTGCTGCTAATTTAGATTAAGATTACCAAACAGAGTAAAATGATAGCAGTTAATACATCATGATTAATGGCAGGTACCCACTGCCCTAGCAAATGATGAGTACAAAGTTATTCTTGTCGTGGAAGTCTTAAGTACTGTTAACTTATACTCATCATTCTTTAAAGTATTAAGTGATAGCATTCACTTAACATTTTAAGTTCATATTTTAGGCATTTTAGGTGAATATTTTAAGGTTAGGGTTATGTTTTAGTGCGTGTTTCTTAAATTAGTGTAATACTAAGCAAAAGTAACAATTTCAGTTAAGATTCTTACAGAAGGGAAAAGTAGACGCTTTAAGGAGTTAAGTCAGTTACTAAGACAGCAAAAATTTCTTGTAACATTTCTGAGATTTAAAAAATGCTGTATACCAAATGATTTTAGAGTAATTCATGTCAATATCAATTCTTAATGTTGAAAAAGTAAAAATGTATTTGATTTATATATGATAACTGATCAAAGTTTTACACAGCACAGGTTGATTTGTTGAGCCTACTCTTTTATTTCCAGGTCATTAAAAAATCTAACAATTTTTATGTGTCTTCAATTGTATCTGATAGAGGTGGGGAGTGAAACAGAGAGTAATGTGGATTCTGAATTTTCACGGACTCAGTTTGAGGATCTTGTTCCCTCACCAACCTCTGAAAAGGCTTTTCTAGCTCAAATCCATGCCCGAAAACCTGGGTACATTCACAGTGGAGCTGCCACAAGTACCATGCGTGGAGACATGTGAGTATCTTCAGCTTAGAGATGTTTTCTCAGTAACAAAACAATCTGTAGGAGGCAATATGAAAGTAAAAGAATAATTGTTTAGGTTTTTTTTTAACCTTCAAAAGGGGTGACATAGTTTTCTTTTCTGCCAGAGATATAGAAGGGTGGTACATTTAAATTTGGCATTGTGATATTCCCCCCTTACAATTTCTAGAGAGTTATCAATAACCTAAACCAACCAGTGCTTATCAAGTGCCTGCCTTGCCCAAGGCACAGTGATGGGTCTATACAAAATAATATTAAAAGGCTGGACACAGTGGCTCACATCTGTAATCCCAGCTCTTTGGGAGACCAAGGTGGGCAGATCATGAGGTCAGGAGATTAAGACCATCCTGGCTAACACAGTGAAGCCCTGTCTCTACTAACAACACAAAAAAATTAGCCAGGCATGGTGGCACGCACCTGTAGTCCCGGCTACAGGGGAAGAGGCTGAGGCAGGAGAATCACTTGAACCCCGGAGGCAGAGGTTGCAGTGAGCCAAGATGGCGCCACTGTACTCCAGCCTGGGTGACAGCAAGACTCTGTCTCAAAAAAAAAACAAAAGTATTAAAAACTGTGCCACCCTTTTAGGACTCACAGACTAGTTCAGGAGATAAATCATCCTGTCTTTTGAACTTACTGTATTTGCACTTAAAGGATACCATGACACTAGAGAGGTCTTTGTGCAGAATTGGTGTAAGCAACATCATATAAATATTTGGAATTGAAATAAGTACATGTATAAAATCTCATTATAAAGAAATCCAGTTTGGTTAACTTGTTGAATATGTATAAATCTGATCCTCCAAATACTTACTTGCAAAAGTTTTCACTCAATTCTGGAGCTTGTTAGATACCAGCAGAATCAGTGACGTCCCCACTAGACTTTCTCTGACCCTGGATCAGCTCAAAGTAGTCAGCAGGGACAACCAAAGCTGAGAAACAAAGGCAAAGCTGAGACAGAGCTACAGAGCACAACTTGGGAGGGAAAGGGAGAAAACAAAAGAAGTGAAGAACGTGCCCCATTAGGAGATCATCATTCGTGGAGTTACAGAAAACATGGAGAAAGGCTGACCCAAAGGCTGCAGAGGGAGTTGCTGAATGCTAAAAATACTACAGAGGGGTGATGGGTGATGTTGCTTAATGTGAAAAGTACTTCAAACTAGCCTATAAAAATAAACTGGCTATTTTAAAGACTCAGAGAAGAAACTAACCAGAGGCCTTTCTGGTGTTTGGCTCTCAATCCAAGCAGTGAATAAATGATCAGTAATCATGGAGAATTATCAAGAGGTGTGGTCTGAGAGTCAGCTGTGAAGCAGCAGAGAGTAAGATTAAAACAAAACCAATATAATAGGACTTAACATGGCAGTACACTGCTGCTGCTTTTTATAGTTTGCTTTCTTGTCCTTTCTTCTGTATTCTTGAATTGTTGGATTTGTTATTCAAAAGGGTGAACTGTCATCTGTTTTGTCTGGTGAATGCATATCTATTTGATTTTTATTATTAAGCATTTATTTGGCAGTTAGCCAGAACTTCATTATCCCGGTTCTAAAATCCAAGACTATTAAGGCAACCCCAATCTGCTACCCCTGGTATGCTGAGTAGCCGCACCAGCTACCAACATGTGACTCTGGAGTTAGGGAAGGAAGGTTCACAGAGGCCTAGGCAGAGCCATTTAGACTGGCCCCAAACCTCCAGAAATAGCCAGAACACGTTGTACAGCTATAAATAAACATGAACAATGACATTTAAGTTCCAGCCTAGAAACTTCACTTATTTCATTTTAGGGAATAATTTAATATCTCTGTTGTCTAAACATGTACTTGTGTTTTACCCTGAGAATCTTTTAGTCCTGTGACTTAGGTAGTGAGCTTAGGTCCAGCCCCATGAATAGCTTTACACAGTCTATGATAAATGGAAGGAGATAAAGCCCCACATTAGGGAATTAGGTCATTTTTATCTATTTATTTGATAGTGGAATTGGATAATTTAAATTTTTTTTTTTCAGATTTGGAGCTAAGGTCAAGAGTTATGGATTAGCATAGTAACCCTCTTAGCATCAACTAGCTGATATTCTAAGACTTAATCCTATGAAAATAAAGCATCAATGTGGGGTGTGTGTGTGTGTGTTGTGTCTGTAACACAAAAAGACGTTAAATTATAACCAAATGTCTTCAAGCATTATTTCACTAGAGGGCTCACTCTCCTTACAGAAAGTATCCTTGGGTTCTATTTTTAAAAAGAATAAAAAGAGCCCTCAGATTGGGAAAACTTTATATCCCTTCAAAAGATGTTTGCCCTTTTAAAAATTATAGAATATTTAAAGGGCCAACCCACTCCAGTAAATTCTAGAAAAAGATAGATGACCAATGATCACAACTGCCATAAAAAAATGTGTATGAAAATACCTTGATCATATATTGCTTCAAACCTCCAAAATGTTTCCAAGTTTTTCTGTAGGCATTAAAGAAGACATGAAAGTGACTTGGAGAATTAAGGAGAAGTAAACGTGCCAATAAAATTACAGCTCACACACAAACTCTGCTTGTAATTGTCTTTTAAGATTCGCTCTAAAATGCCATCTGTGGTTTATTCTCAGGGTTACAGAGGATGGGGATCCCTATGTGCAGCCTGAGGATGAAAACTATGAAAATGACTCTGTCCGGCAGCTGGAGAATGAGCTCAAAATGGAAGAATACCTGAAACAGAAGCTGCAGGATGAAGCATATCAGGTATAGGGATCCAGGCCCCACCCACCCTACCTCTTCTACCTCAACCCTTGGTAGCTGGGTCTTTGAAATGACTTGCAGAATCGGTGCCTTCTCCTTCCTCCCACCCCCAACCTTTCCACAATATACTGATTTCACTCCTTAATCCATGTCTTCCATACAGTAACAATGTTAAATACTTCATATAGCTGTCACTCACCATGTATTCTTTTAAATTCTGCCCTAAAAAATGATAAGCAGCCTTCTTATATTGGAAAAAAACATGGTAACTAACAGTCCAAACTCTCAGGCCCATTAAGAAAGATGCTTTCTCTCATAATTATTTTTAAATAGATACAAAGAACAGGGTATGAGGAAATTGAATAAGCATAAATGCACCACCTCCCTTGAATTGTTTGCCCTCAGCCTTCCTCATTGCCCACCTCATGCCAACTGTAAGTAGGAGAACGGCAAACCTCACGGAGAAATGTTGGGGGAACTGCAGGACTGTGTTCAGCAAGATGTGGACGGACAGATTTTCAGATGTACTAGAGTATGTTAGCCATCTGAAAATTCACTGACTGTAACACATGCAATTGGGAATAAATGTAACCAGCGACTCATCCTAAAGGCCATGAATTTCCCTATGGAGATTGTTCTACTGCCTTGTTTATCTTCCTGGTTTGTTTCTTTTCCCTTTAATTCGCAGGTGTTTTCTTGGGGTTCTGATATTCAGGGATGTTTACCTGGTTGAGACCAGCTTTTCCCTGGGCCTCAGTGGGCTATTTTATCCTGTCAGACTTTCTGTCCAATGGTCAGACAAGTTTCTTCACATTGTTTTGTTTTGTTTTGTTTTGTTTTGTTTTTTGAGACAGGGTCTTGTTCTGTTGCCCAGGCTGGAGTACAGTCACATGATCATAGCCCACTGCAGCCTCTAACTCCTGGGCACAAACGATCCTCCCACCTCAGCCTCCTGTATCTGGGACTACAGGTGCACACCACCATGCCTGGCTAATGTTTTTATTTTTTGTGAAGACAGGGTCTTCACAAATATGTTGTGCAAGCTGGTCTTGAACTCCTGGTCTCAAGCAATCCTCCCACCCCAGCCTCCCAAAGTGTTGGGATTACTGGCATGACCCACTGTACCCACCCTTTCGCATATTATTAGGGCAGCAGTGCCCTCTCTTACTTCGTTAGAAAAAAAAAGAAGCAGAGAGAATAAATTATCTCCTGTTCCTTAGATGTCTATAGATAAAGCCTTGAAATATTTTTCCAAGAAAATTGTAGCAGGAGGGAAACTGAAGCTCACCAATTCCATCCCAGCAATATAAAAACAGTTTTGCCTCTTTGGAATGTTCCATTAGCCTTTTCACTTTAACAGCCACATTTCAGAAGCAACTAAAATGTTTGTCTAGCCATGCCAAAGAAAGAAGGAAAAAGAAAAAAATATGTGACTATATATGTAGAGCCGTGCTCCCACGCTTCAGAAAAAAAAGTTGCCTGATGGCAAACCCATGGACAGTGCAGTTTTCCTTGCACCTTCTATGGCTCCTCCACAGAAGAAAGTTAGCCTGGAACGACACTGCCAGGGCGTCTCTGGGAACTCTGAGGGATGGCATTCTATACATATCTCATTAGGCTCTGCTGTGTAGAGGGGAAGAAAAATGTAGCTAAATAATCGGTGTTCTGGTTCATGCTATTAGAAGCATCTATTAGGTCTCCCTCTTTGAGCTCATGTCACTTTCTGTATTTTGGTAGCTGTAGTAACTGAAATTCTAGGGGTTCTTTTTTTTTTTTTTCTTTAAGGAAGGCAGCCTTACACCATTCCATATAAAGTATTAGATTTTTATTTATTTTAATGAATTAGAAATGTAAACTTTTATGAGTAAAATGAAGGGAATTTCTACTAATTACTTAAGATTCAACTGGAGTTTTTACCATCACTGGTAAATCTTAGGCTCCCTCTCCCTCTCCTTTCTTTTCCATCCCTCATGACTTCCAAGAAAAGGGCAGGGAAGAGGCTGGGAGAATATAACGGGCCGGTGTATCTGCACTCAAAACATATGCCCTGGAGGATGTCAAAGTGTTTTTCCTTGAATGCTCTGTGAGCATATGGTTTTGGATGGATTGGAATGCTACGTTCATTCAATAGACTCTCTCTCTCTTTCTGTCTGTCTTTGTGCATGGCTTCCTGCCAAATAATTCACCAGCTTGACTGCATCACAGACTTGACGTGTCACCTTTCTTGTGTCCTTTGTCACCCACAGGTCAGCTTGCAAGGTTGAATGCAATATCCTTTTATCACACTCCTCTCAAGTAAGTACCATCTTATTTAGGAGGAAACATGGCCACTGTACACTGAATTCTGATAACTTGCAACACGAATTCACAATCACTTTCACTTAGTCATTTCTTTCTATGCGATAAAATATCCTCCCTTGCGGATATGGAAGAATCATCTCAGTCTATGGAGTGTTTCATTATAAACCAGTGGAGATTTGCCAGACGTCCTTGGGAGTTGACTTCTTAATCTATTAGTTAGGAAAATTGGCACAAAATTTCTAAACCTAGAGATGTTCCAGAAATCCTCTGTGGCTATGAAACTTACCAATAAGTTTGTCACATCACCAATCCATGATGATATTGGAGTTCGTAGTGGCTCTAGCACTTGAAAAGGAAAAGTCAGTACCTCTAGAGATGGGCCAGCTTGTTAGCCATACTATATCTAGGTCTCAAGAGATGAAATGTGTGTACCTTAGCAAGTGAAAGCAAAAGCATGCATTATTAAAGAGAACAAAAGAACCCAAACAGAGAAAAATTTCTGCAGCCTTATGTTTTTGGAATACCTGATTCAAATCCATTGTGGAATTCAGCAATACATAAATTAATTAAAATATGATTTTTATGGCATGTGAAACCACTCCAAAGCTGTACCTAAATATATGGAAAATCCTCAGTAATTTTTTAATGCAGAAAGATTAGCATTGGACTGGCAGAATCACTTGACTGTAGTGTCTGAAGCTTAGGTGCTGGACTCTAATAGACCCATTTCAAATATGCATTTCAACCAAATCCTAGCAGCAGAACTTTGAGCAAATTATTAAACCTGTATTAGCCTCATTTTCATCTACACAACATATTGTATAATACCAGCTTCACAGAAGAGTTGTACTTACTGGGATATGGTTTCTAAAGAGTTTTGCATAGTAGCAGGCACACTGTTATTGATTATGAACATTCACATATATGCCTGCCCCTATGCTCAGTGCTTCATAACACTTCAACACCTGGGAGCTGCCATAGTGTTTACATAAGTGTATGGGAACCACTGGGACTCAGAACTAACTTGCTGTCTCTACTTTTACAAACAAGGCAAGGATGCAGCTACATGCGATGACTTGGGACACTGCAAGCTGCACTGTTCCATAAGTCTAGATTTTTTTCTCTGGCTCTAGCTAATAGCCATTTAGATGCCCCCCATGATAGTTCAAAGCTAATATAACTCTCAAAGGATTCTGGCTGCACTAGCCTAAACATTTGAGTTATATGAGCTTTCTCTACCATGGAATCCTATATGTCTGTAGTGCAGTGGACAGTAAATGCTATCAATGCTGGTTGCTATTAATAATTTGAAAAAAGGAATGTATAGCTGTTAAACGACATATTAGTAAAGAATACATGCTAGCGCAAATGCTACTGACATCCCATCTCAGTCCTTAGGTTAAAATTAAGCCAGTGAAAATCATGGCGCAATTGCTGTGATAATATACACTTTATGAGCAGTGAGGAAGGAGCTTATTGACCACTCTCTATTCTGCCTCTCTTGGATTTGAGAGTGCCACACCACATGCTATCCTGACTCATTACAACCAGAGTGAAAAAATTCCCAGGAGCTTTCTCTGAAAGTCTTCACTCCAGTTATAACAAACTTAGTCCCAAAGGGGCAGGCCTTTTCCTTTAACAGCATCCTCTTTCTCTTAGCTTCAGCCATTTGATCGTTTTTGTTCTGTACATTATTTAAACATCGGTAGCTAGTTCTTAGAAAAATATTTTTGAAAGTCTAATAAAATGTGCTTGCCTTAAACCCAGATAAAAAGTGGCATTTGGTTCTC